AAAGAGTGTGAACCAATAACCATGAATAGCAAGTAGCACTTGAATCTTTCCCTGCATCTACACATCTACTCTGATGACACCATGAAGCAGGAGGGTATTGCTAAGCCAATTTGGGAAATGTTAAGATAGTGCTAGACTTCTGTGTTGACTCTCATAACTGATTATGGTGTCAAAGATACAAAGTGCTTACTGGAAAACTCATCTGAATACAATCTAGAGCAGATTAGTAGGTATGGGCAGTGTGTTTCTTTTTATGACAGTGCAAGGGAATTTCTTTGAAATGTTTGTACAACATAGCAGGAAAAATTACTCATTAGAACAAAAGCTTGAGTCAGAAGAAAGAAATACAAAGGAGCATTCAGGAGGGCAATAACTTAAGTAATAGCTATTACAAACATCATGCAGCTGCCAAGCCTGTTCTCGGCTTTTAGCTAGAAAACAGCAGCAAGCACTATGCAAAAGATGCCATGGCCTTGCTGTGATTCTAAATGGCAACAGTGGTAAGAATTAGCAAGTGCCACTGACGTTGACCTGGACACTGTCAGCTGTTCCTGTGGGGCTTTGAAGATGGCAAAGGGGTTTGTGATAGGTGGGCAGACGTGTGTGCGTGTTTTACCACTTGTGCACGCATATTTCTAGGTTCTAAAAGTGTTTGAGATACTTAGTGCACTGTAACTGTTTAGGCCTCACCTTTTAATGCCTTAATAGCATAATAGCTAAAGGCACTACTCAGTTTAATTAACACTAATGCCGTACCCAGTATTCATTTACTGTTTAATTTCTGGTTAAAGAGCCCATCTCAGACAAATAATTTGATTTCCTTTGTTTCGTTAACTTAGCGTTGTTTGTTTCTAAGCTTGATGAACTTGATTAGTGTATATTCGCTGTGCCTGAAGTACACGCGTATTAAGTGACAGAAGTAGCCCTGCTTAAAAACAAACTGGTTGTGCCTGTGTTTCAAGAGTGTTTTATAAGGCAGGTTCTGTATTGCTGTACAATATTTGTAGGGAAGAGGAAGCTCAATTTCTAGACTGTAGAGGCAGCTTACGAAGAGCAGAGCGCCTGCCACTTTGCCTTTCCCATCCTATCATATTGTCATCAGCAAATCTGGAAATGCTGAGCAGTGGAAGGAAAAGAGCAAAACAGTTGGCTGAAGAAGTACTAGCACATGCTAGCTTTATAGCATGTACCATGGTAGCACTATGGCTCTAAACATCTGTGACACTATCCACCACTTATGGCTGGATAACAGTCACTGCGTTGTAGCGTAGTAATACCTTGAAATAATTGAACGTTTTGTATAAGCCTCCAAAACCTCGTGCATGCTTTAGGTCGGGTCTGTAAGTGAAGCTTTTGTGCTTGTTCTTAGAAGACTGGGTAACATAGACCAAGCTGAGAAGAAAGGAAAGGAAAGAAACCCAGCAACTAGGTGGTTGATTGGAAGGTGGCCTGGTACACATGGTATTTAAACCATTTCTGCTAACTACTTTGAATTTTAAGTCAGGAAGAAACTGTGCCTCTCTTTGCTCTGATTTTTCCTGTTTTTCTCTTTCCCCTCTGAAAAAAATGCTTTCCTTCCAGAACTGCTGGTATTGAATGGCACTGACCCCGTTGCAGAAGCAGCCATTCGACAGTTAAGCGAGTCTGCAAAGCAGAAGCTGAAGTCTCCTAGGAAGAAAAGCACCATTATCATATCAGGGGTGTCAAAGGTAAACAGGAAAACAGCACTGGCACGTAATGATTAGTACCAAAGAGTCTTTGCTCTGCTGACGCTAACTTAATGTGTGTTCTGCTGTCTCTGATTCAGCAGGCTCTGTAGGATCTAATTCTGTGTGCCTGTTTCAGTAACTGTTTCAAGTGAAGCCAAGTCAGGGTGGGGTTGTTTTCAGGGGGTTTTGTTTGCTTAAGGCTTAGGTTGACAGCCTGACTAAAAAATGCATGGTGCCCTTTGACAGGAGTGGGAGGATTAGGGATTTGGCCGGACCAGTTTAGGTGAGAAGAGTAATTAGTCATACCCTGTGCTTTGTCATGGAGGGAAGATGCACAGAAAAAGTATGAAAGATTTTTCTGACTGTCAAACTTGTTTAAACAAAACCATCTGAAAAACCTTCTAGTCCTCTCTGGGCTATGTTCAGAGGATGGGGAAACAGAAGACTGCTTCTCACATAGTGTATATAGTATGCTTCCAGATTTCCCTCATCCACACCCCCAGTCTACCTATTTGGTTCCTGCCTGTAGTCCTTTCGCTGCAGGCTGCTGTACAAACATTTGCTGCAGAGTCATCTTGTTCTGCACAGTTTCCCTAAAGATTTCTGAGGAAAAGCTGGCTCAGCTGGCATTGAGCCCCTTGTCATCCCTGGGCTGTGCTGAGGTGGGGAGAACGAGGATCAGCCACCACAGTGCAAGATGTGTCTGCTTAGAAAGTGGGGGCAGTGGGACTGTGTGGACTTGTGTTTAGCTGATATAGCTGCCAAGAAGTCTTTCTTGTGCAAAATGAAATATTTTGATATTTAATTTCTTTGAAATGCTGGGAGATTTTTGTCTATGGAAGCTGATACTTCATGACAGCAGCACATGTAGGAAAAAGTGTCATTACTTGTGATGGGGCTGAGGGTGGGTGGGAGGCATGTAATTAAATATTTTTTCCAGTCACTTGGCTTTAACTGTTTGATTAGAACTTGGCTATATGCTCCTCTTTAGTGGAACCAAGGGAACCTCATACTAGCTTTCTAATAGGCCTGAACAGCGCAAATAAAAGTATAAGAAGAGAAAAGGACAGAACCATTGCAGGGATACTTGTTTTTCGTTTTTTGTTTTTTTTTTTTTTAAAGAAGAGCAGCTTGTGTCAGTGTTGTCTCTTATTTTCCCTGGGCAGATCTCTTTATCTCAGGACAGTGAAGCTGCACTGATGATGGACTATGCTGCAGCCATGGATGGCTCTTGCAAAAAAGTAGATCCATCCACTGTGGAGGAACGTATTGCAAAAGTCACCTCTGATGAAAAGCTATCATTAGGTGCTTCAGAAACAGTACCTGATACTGACCCACAGCAAAGTGACCATAAGGCCTGGGGTTTGGAGAACGGAAGCCAGCAGTGGAACAGCAACACGCTGCTAGACCAGACCTGTGAAGAAATGTCCGGGAGCTCTTTAAGTGTTTCAGAAACTGGGAGCATGAAAAAATCTAAAGGTATGTGACCTCACCTCCCCTTTAGTGAACTACTGCTTTCTCTACATAATTAGCCGTGTCATGCAACACTCTAGAGTAGTTTGTCCTTTCTTACTGCTTTTTGTCCTTAAGCTCCTTGCGATTGTGCTGTTGGTGGAAGAAGCCTTACAAACAACCATAAAGACTGGCATCATGGAGCTCTCAGATAGGCATGTCCAGGCTTCCTTATTCATCAGGAAATAGAAGGGCTCATCCTTAGAATTTGAAGAGCAGATCACTAAGTCCAGCTCAGTTATCTGTGAGGGAGATAACTGGCCAAATTGTCAACTCCTTGATGAAACCTCTGTTTTTGTAAATAAAGACCTGTGTTATACTTGCAACGCCTTTACTAAAGGAAAAATGGCGGAGTTCCACAGTTGCTTTCTGGTGTGTTCCTCTTCCTCCCTCACATCTCTGAGCACAAAACTTCCCTGCCTTCGCAAAAGCGTATGTGCCAGAAGCGCACAGTTTTAAACTGCCTTTAAAACAGTTTCTTCCCTTTCACCTTTTTCATCAATATGAATTTTGCTAAAGAAAATGGGGTTAAGGGTGATTTTAAAAATAAATAAATGGTCAGATAATTTTGCTTGTGTAGTTACACAATGAGTAGTTGCAGTTTGAAAACGTCTTACGGTTCTTTGCATTCCTTTTATAAGTCCAGTAACTTCTGAGGCTTTTGTAGCAGTATGTGGCTGGGTGGTAAACACAAGTGACCATTAAAAAGTCTGGAAGAAGAGCCGGTACAGTGGACTCCCGCCTGCTCCTTGAACAAGCGGCAGAGCAGTCTTATGGGCTGTTCATGGGAGCTGCAAAAATTGCTGTGCTTCTCACCCATGTCCATCCCTCTTTCATGTTATTATATTGTATTTTTTCCTTACCCAGGGATACTGTAAAAAGGCTTAGTACGCAACCTCAGTATATTGCTAGGTAATTGTATTCCCTCCACATAAGGTGTACATTGGATCTCTTTGCCAAGGCGCTCTCTTAGAACATCAAGATTGTCTGGTATTTTCACAGCTTTATTATTCCATATGTTAGTTTAAGATGATATGTCAGCAATCATTTTGGCACGGATGGGCAGGCACTAGGCAGCTTGGGGTTTATTGGAGGGGGAGGGGCTGGGATAAGTTTAAGTAATATTTCTCATTTGGAGCCTGGAAAAGTTTAGGAAGCTGTATGAGATTTTGCAGAACCTCTGGACTCTTCTTTAGTATGTTATTCTAAAAGAAAGAAGTGGAAGTTTGTATGTGAGCTGTTGCCTAGTTTTGTTCTTCAATAGCTATGCTTGCAATTTTCCCTGTGCAGTATGTTGCAAAGAGAATAGGCTTCTAAAGATTCTAGTTACGTGGTGCAGGAGAGGACTGCTAAAAAGCACAAACGATCTCTTAAGAGTTGTGTCATCCTAAAAAACATTTAAAAAAAACTGTTTCAAAAACTCACTTAAACCGATCTCTTTGTGGAAGTCTTGAATCCCTGCTCTGTCACAGTTCAGTAGCTTTCATGGAGTGAGATAGCATATTTCCACCGCCCTGCCTTCAGTTAGCTTTGATAGTTCAAGGTTTATGTTTTGTCCAATGCTTTCCCTTTAAAATAAAAATAAAAACAAGACCTGCTTTAAAAAAACTCATGTATAGTGTTAACAATTTAAAGTTAGAACTGTCTTTCGTTATCTTTTTTTATTCTTGCTTATTTTTGTTTTATACCTCTCTGACTTCCTCTTTCTTACCCATTCCCTTTTGTAAACTTAAGAGGACTACTATGCCAACCAGAATTAATTGCCTACACAGTAAGTTATTTTTGTCTTATTTTTTTTAAGAAAATATAGCTTTGCAGTGGAACACTCATTGTAAAACTGAAGCAAAATGTAGTTTGGCGCCTGTTTTCTTCTTCTCCCATCCATTTTTTTCCTTCCTCCAAAGTACCTTCCTGTGCTCAGACCTCTTAGCAGACTAGTCTACTGTAACAAAGCATTCGAGTGGTAGATGGGCTACCCAGGTGGGTCATGCAGAATGGACAGCAAGGAAAGCTTGGAAGGGCACTGTACATTCCAGATCTCTCTCATGACCATTCCTGTACTATCTGGTTATCAATCAACCATCTTCTCATGCAAACCATGTGTGACCCCATAAATGGATATGCATATACAGAATGCTTATTTTAAAAGCTGCTGCTCAGTTTTCCAGATCTCTTTTCTAGCCTGATTCCTAGAGCTATAAGTATCTTGGCAGGTATTTACACAACCTTCTGGGTAAAAGCTGTTTTGGAATTGGGAAGGAGTGGGGAGAAGTGATCTTTATTCATATCCAGGTAGATGTGGGAGCAAATCTTCCTTCTTTAACAAAGATGAGACTCAGAAGTGATCCTAGCCCCATAAGCCTTTTCTGAGCACCCTAAGCTGCTGCTCAGGAGCTTATGAAGACCAATCAGGCTGTACAGCATTATTGACATGCTCTCTGCTTATCTCCTGGTTTTAGGGGTGGAGTTGGCTTATGGATCCTGTAAAACTTGAGAAGCAAGCATGCAAATAGCAGGAGCATCAAGTTTGTGATTTGCCCTACCCTGCCTTCTTAATAGGGGTGCATGCCTCCACAGCAACTGGAGCCACTGACAGGCAGCACATGCCCAGTTGGCTAGAGACTGATGGGTGGTAGTGCGGATGTGGCAAGCTTCCAGGTAGCAATGACCTCAGTACCTCCAAACACGCAGCAAGCTTTCACGTCAGTGGGTTGCTGCCTGTGCTGACCCTGTGCTGTTCTCAGGCATGGGCTGCCTTCAATTCTTCAGCTGTGGCAATTTGTCCTGGGTCACTAGCATGGTTTTTGCAGCGTTCCTTGCTTCTGTTATGTTTCCTAGTATGGGAAATCAGTCTGAATGGATAGGACTAACCAGCTGCTTATGGATGAACTCTTCTGTCCTCCTCCTCCTGTTGGCACAACTTCAGCTGCAGCTGCCAAGACTGCTGGGCAGAGCAGCTGACTGCTAAAACAAAAGCTACACAGCAGTGAGGCCTCATCACCAGCCTTTGCACATTAACAACTGTCAGTATCATGGGGTAGAACACTGTTTCTTTTATGCTGTTGACAACAGCTTGAAGTGGTAAGCTAAGCTTTTGGCCTTGTCAGAAAGATCAACCAGAGGGTGATGGGAGAGCAGTCAAGATTCAAATCCATGAGTTCCACTTGCTTTCAGCTGACTTCTGCTCTGATCCCATCGTGCTCTGTGAGAAAAGTCACAGAATGAGTACATGTCAGGAGCAAGACAAAGCATACTAGAATATCTTTCCAGATGCTGAGTGCATAGTCCTTAAAATAAAAAGTAATAATCCCAAGCACATGTTTGTAACTGTTCCAGTCTGAACAAAGAAGCATCTGGCTGTGCGGAACACGCCTGCCATGAAATGCCTATTCTGCAGCTGTTGCTGTGCAAAACGACCTGCAGCCTGTGTGAAGTCCTTAGATGACAATTCCAGCTTTTATACAGTGTCATGTGAAAGAATTATTGTGTTGCTTTTTGTATTTATTGCAATCAGGGAGAGAAAGCAGAATCAAGACTGTGTGGTGATAGGAATTAATAGCTGAGCTGAGAAAGAATCAGGAAGCTTGACAGTGGCATGGGCATGAGCTATGGAAGCTTTGTCAAGGAGATGACTGCCCTCACGTACCGGTCTAACTGCCAAAAGGCTCCTGTGTTGGCTTGCTGTCTGGGTCCTCCTCTGTTCAAATTGATTGTGCCACTTGGACAGTTATACTACCCAATTCTGCACAAAACTGGAGTTGCTATTTTAACATTAAGCTGCTATACTGACACGAGACTGAGTGGTGTTCCTGGTAGCTCAGAGGGGTTTTTCTGCCAGCTGCCACCATGCTGCCTTACATGTCAGGCACTTGTGTGCATAGGGAAAGGGGCGGTGGAATTCTTCAGAACGGTAGCTACCAAAAAAATCAAAGCTTGCAAAGGGAGAAGATGCTACTGGTGTCTTATGCTGTGAACATGAGTTCATGCTGAGATGCTAGCTGCAATTGCCATGGCTACATAATAGATAGGACATGGTATCAAGGGAAAGAGTACAACAAAATGAAGCGACCTCATTTACCACAGAAGGAATTTGGGAGAATTTCTGAGTCTATTGGAAGCAGATGTAATACTATTTTTAATCTGCTTGAGGTGAATTGTTAGTCCTAACAGGATTTTAAAAGAGCAAATGCTTCATAACCTCTACTTTCTAGGTGGTGCTCCCAAATTCTTATAGAATACATGTTGTCTACTTTTATGGGCCTACTGCATGAAGGTTGACTACCAAGTACTGTTCTCAGAAACCAACAGTATTCTGCACTTGAAATTAAAATGTGAACTTCATTTTGTGCATAATGGGCTAAAATGTTCTTTTCAGCTCCTTTAATCTCTCAAGCAGCAGAGATAGTCTGTAGCATTTCTTTACTTCTTCTGTTTCATTCATTTCTTTTCATAAAATATTCTGTACTGTAATCTATTGAAAGGATTGAAAATGCCTGTCTGACATGTGAGAACCCAGCGTACAACCCACACAAAATGCTGTGCATGTGTATGTTTGAACACTACCATAGCTTTCAGAAGAGCATTCGAAACATGAAGTGTAAGGAAGGAGGCTTCTATAAGATGTGAGGATTGGCTCTTCAGAAATTGAAATCGGATGATTTGATACTTGCTTGCTCATAGACATGTTTGACATTAGTTTTCCTTCCTTCTTTCAATAACACCGTTTCTGCAAGAACTGAAGGAAAATTTATTTTTTCCTTCAGTGCTCCTCTAGCAACACAATTGAGCTCATCTTTCCTGAACTTTTCCGCTAACTTTAAGAGTGTATGTATATGCATAGATCTAGAACTACCATAGTCTGTCATGAATCTAAGTGATTCAGTTTGCATGATACTTGCATGAAACGAGGAGAAGCAGAGAAATACATACTTCTGTGGAGCCTAAATTTCTTAGTGGTGTTCAGTTGAGACAGGGCTGGATCAGCAGCATGGCAAGGAGGACTCAGTAGCACGTAGGACATGTATGTGCGCCTTTGGCAGAAAGCACAATAAATACTTGAGTTTACCACCATGTGAAATAACGTGAATTACTTGGTCCAAGATGGAACTCATGAACTATTATGACCTCTAGGTTAGAGACCATCAACATTTTTGCTTTAGTTTTACCACACTATTAGCTTTCTAACGTGGCTTTTGCACTGAATAGTTAAATGGGTGAATTTAAATCAGAAATACTAAGACTGAGGCTTTTTTCAGTACTGCTGCAGTTATAGTTAAAGCTGAGACCTAACAAAAAACGCATGCTGTTCTGCCTAAAGAGTCCTCTGCTGTTTGTTTCTTCAGGTGGGATTTTGAAAAAAAGCGCAAAACTCTTTTTTCGTCGGCGCCATCATCAGAAGGATCCAGGAATGAGTCAGTCGCACAACGATCTTGTCTACCTGCAGCAGCCACTATCAGAGGAAACGCGCAAGAAGGGAGGAACACTTTCACGTATTCTTAACAGGAAGCTCCTTTCCAAGAACAAAAGCAAGAACAAACTGAATGGTTCTTCGGCAGAACCATACATATAAGACTGAACGCTCTCTAATGGGATGCTTGCACATCAGCTGATCAGTTGTTTACAGAGCAGTACTAGAGAATACATATACAGCTGATGACTTGCATAAAATGATGTTCACTAATACAGTGGTCCAGGAATAAACAGAAAGCTTGTCTTTCGTTTATTTTTCCAGAATGATTTTCTTTATAATTAATGAGTTGCTCCTCCAAATACAACAACTGGGAATTGTATCATGACAGCATTTGGAGGACTGTGTGGTTTGTAGAAGATGAGGGAAGACGGGGAATGGTGCAGGTGGGGAGGACTTTTATGTGAGCACCTAGTTTACATTAGTGGAGAGCTAAGAACTGAAAATTCCTACCTGCTACATGACTGAACCACCATAAAAGAGATGACATACCACTGTGCTTCCTTACTGCAACACGGAGTCGTTGCAATGCAAGTCTCAACTTGGTTTTCTAGTCAGGCTGAAAGACAAAAGAGAGACTCAGACCCAGTTTGTATTGTAATTTGGAAACAGGTAAGTTTTTAGCGGCAGAACTAAAATGCTGATTAAGATAGCCTGCTGTAATAACTGTAGCCTGCTGTATTAACTGCTCAGTCCAAGTAGGTGGAGAGATGCCTTTGAGATTAGCCATAAATCAATAAATTATGCAAATACTTATCCTAGCATATTGTATAATATTCTGTGCATAAGTTATGCTTAAAAAACAGAACTTTTTCTAAGTCTACCCAAGTCTACTTGCAAGCAAAACATTTAAAAATTCCTACATGTAGCTTTTCTCCCCTATGTGAGAAGCTGCATTGCTAGTGCAACAACTTGTCTTAGGGGCTCTAATTCCTTCTCTCAAGTACTTGTTAGACAAGTATATCAATCATTGTATGAAATGCAAAGCTAGGAGCAATAAGTGTTGAACAGAGCATATTTAACCCTACATAAGCTTTTCATTAGACAGCTTGTTTTAGATTCCAAACACTTACTGAGATCTTAGAAAATGCAGTCGTGAAGAGAGCGTCTTTTCAAAAAAAAAAAAAAAAAAGTAATAATAATAATCCCCTAACTTCAGTTTCCAGAAGGGTCAGTGCTGTCACATGGTGAGTGGTTGGTTGGGTTTTTTGACTTTTTTTCCTCATTAAATACAGCAGCTGGCTCCTTTAAATTAAAATGAAAAAATGGTGAACATAAAGGTGTAGGGTTTGTTTTTTTTTAGATATTTAAAAAGAGGAGTAAAACATCAGTCGATATTTCACAGGCAGCATCTTTTGTGTATACCTGTACTTTTCCAACGTATACGTTCCTACCGATAAGAAAGGACCAAGCCTGTTGTTTTTTGGCCAAGAAAAACACCCGTTCCATCAAAACTACTGACATAAATGGATGATAGATTTGTGCCTGCAACAGTGATTTTTTTTCCCCCTTAAAAGACATCCAATACTTCTTATGTGCATAAAAATGACAGATATTTGGGCTTATCCCTTAAAGCATCCTTCAAAAATAGAAATTCACTGAAGAACAGAAACACATTTCAAAATTTCTGGTGAGTCCTAGGTTCCCTGGCAAATATTTTTAGAAAGATTATAAAACTAGAGGTTTTTTTTTTTTAATTTTCCCAACAAACTCTTCAAAGAAATGAACTTGCCAAAATCTTTTAACTGAACCTACTGTTTAAAAATACAGTTTTTATGTAGCCTAGTAAAATCACTGTGGTAGTACAGCAGCCCAGACTATCAGATAGTGGTATGGTAAAGCATGCTGCTTATTGTGAAAACACTTGAAGGCATTTTAATATTCTATGTTTTACAAATTTGTGTTACACATGAGTATTCTAGACCTGTAATGTGCTTAGAAATCCCAGGTCAGTAATACTGGTTTGTCTTGCTTAAATGTGCTTGAAAACTTTTCTTTATTGTTAATTTAACAGAAAGTAGAAGTTAGGCTTCTTCATTTGCTCTGTAGCAGCACATGATCTGAGCATTAGAAGACTGATGTTATGTTCCCTCAGTATACACTTTTTACCATTGAGTTTACTAGGAGCTCTTTGCATGATGAGAGAGAAATGAAGATCCTATCATGTTTTAAATGCTCAGTCTTGTTTGCGGAAGGAGAAAAATAAAACTGCGCATTGAGCTCAAGAAATCAGAGTGTAATTAAGGTGAGACTAAGTTCTGCGTATAACACCCCCTTATACTAAAAGCTAGCAGCTGTAGAACTGGGAATGTGATGGGAGTCTGCATCACTACTTGAAGTCTGTTTAAATTACTGAACTGGGATTTTAATTGACAGAAGCTTTTTTTACTGTAGAATGTGGTGGAATTAATGCTGAGTAACTTGCAGAACACAGGAGTAGGGTTTGCTTGTATATTACCCCAAAGAAAAATGAACCTTGACAGGTTTTTGTTTTTTTTTTTTTAATCTTTCTTAGGGTCTTGGTGATTGCCTGAATGCATGTCTTGATGGTGGGAACTGAGAGCATTCAATACTGCAAATTGTTCATAGGTTTGAACTTGTGTATATTGAGAAAGAATTGATTATTCAGATGAGGAAAACAAGGCATTTGGGGTAAAAAGGGAATCTTGTTTTTTAATTGCCTTCACTCCTCAGGAAAATAAACATCGTTTGGTTTGATAATGCGTTTGACCTCCATATCTGGCTGCTGTGTTCCTCACCTCTTCCTACACCTCTACAAGTAATTTCTGTAATGTGGTAAACACAAGCTAAAGTACTAAACCCAAATGGACAATTGAATTCCCAGTAGTGATAACCCCAAAGGCCCATAATATTGAACCCTGTTCCTTCTTCCCAGGAGGTTGCCTTTTAAGATCAGGAGATGTAAGTCTGTATTTTGTGTACAAGTAGTTATGTTGATGTGAGCTGGGTCCTGACAGCCTGCAGGGAGCTATGCTACAGTTCAGAGTAGGGAGGACTGGATTTGGAAACTGGCAGAATTAACGCAAGGACTTACCCCATTAGGTGCTGCGCATTTCCTCTGCAGTTGTCTGAAAGGTGCAAAAGGGAACCCTCAAATTATTAAGATTGCAATCTTAAAAATTTTAATGACTACACATTTGAAGAGCACAGTAGATGAAATCTCTGCATTATATTACCTAGAAAACTTTTTTGTTTTCTATCCTCTAATTTAATTACTTCAGAACAATACTTTGGAAACAATTTATGAAATCTTCCCTCCTTTTTGCCCCTCTTCTTACACTTCTGTGTTTCTAGATCTTACGCTTACCAAAGAAAGCATGGTATTTATTTTGTAAGCGCTATGCTGTGAAGATTTGCTTTTTCTTCCTAAAGAATTTTTCTGCCTATAATTGAATAATCTTAACCTCTGTTTATGGGGTTTGTTTTGCTTTACGGTATCTTAGCTTTTCATTTGCCTTGATGGAGAAAACCTGCATCCTCACCTAAACAAGATTTACCTTAGCTTTAATGGAAATTTTGCTCAGATGTATGGAAATTGAATTTCTCTTTGTAGATTAAAACAATAAAGCTACCTAATACCTCAAAAGTGAAGGCAAGCTAGGTGAATTTGTTGAAGTGACTGAGTCAGAGGGAAGGGATCCTTTATCCCTAAGTCACCACTACTGCATATCCAACTCACCCCAGGAAAAAACAGCATTCATTTTACTCCTAACTATATACGAAACTTGTGAGGTCTTGAGGCAGCAGGAAGGAGAAGGAACATGGTAACGGACAAAAGTACATATTCACTTAACAAGCAAAATACCATTAGCAAACTTGTTTGATGGTTGAATGTAATGGAAGTATCATATAAACTGTACAAGCATGGATACTGGGCGTTATTCTTGAGCTTTCTAGTAGATTTTTTTCCCCTGTTCTTTCGGAGAGAGTTTGGGGCTCTAGGTTATACAGACCTGCAGATACTCTCCGGCTCTAGAGAGGACTTCATTTCTGGTGCTGCTTTTTTAGAAGAATCTGTTGCCTGGTAACGATACCAATTTTGAGCACCGGTAACTTTTTACACTAGTTTCTGGTACTGTGTCTCCTTGCTAGTTCTAAGTGGTTTTCAAATGAATGTTTTCTGATACGTATTTCTTGTAATATTTTGGTTCTCTTGATGTGTGGAATATAATAGGAAAAAAGGGTGAAGCTGACTACATAAAATGCTATCAAATGTGCATGGGGAAACAAAGTAAGAGTCTTGCTCTTCCTCTAATATCTCTTTCAGCTCTGGTGATTCTAGCTGTTAAAAGGAGCAAGAGCTCTACACAAGGTGAGAGTCACAAGGCTTTCTCAGTTTACGGCAGTTTTTGAATTGCAGGGCTGAAGTTTGAGATAAGTGCTTATCCTGGTTTAGAATTAAGTATACCATAGCTCTAGGCTAAGACAATTCCCATCATGAGTGGGAACAGCTGACCTCCTACGTTGACCTCCACAGGACCTATGTGGATTTATTCATGTGTTTAAAAGGAGTATATGCTTCACTATGTTGCTGAGTCACGGCCTTGAAGACAAACAGTTCAAGATTAACTATATACCAAGGGTGACTATTTTAAGTCAAGGGTGAACAATATCATTTCACTTGGGATATCCAAGGTGCTGCTATGCAAAGTGCTAGTGTGGTGTGAAAGCAGCGGGGAAGAATGGGACTGGGGCCTTGCCAATATTATAACTTTGTATTTCCCAGCAATGTAGTATGCTATGATATTCCAGATGGGGCAGAACATTTATTCCTAGCATTCAACTGTGACAGTCCCTCCTTCTGTGTGTTTTGTGTGTGTGTGTACACACAAATAATTTGATGCAATTAAAAAGTCTACAATGTACAGATTTATTATATCACTAAAACGCCTGAGGATTTTTTAAAGAAATAACTATTGCTGTACATACAATAAATGCTAGTTGTCTCTGTGTAGTGTGCTGTCGTACCTAGTCAGCCAAGCATAACAGATGGTTTTCTACTCTCCTTCACTAATTTGACTTGTTGCTTAACACAGTCCCTTTATCTGTTTATCCAGGAGCAGACTCCTCCATTCATACAAAATAATGTCATTTTTTCCTCTAAATTGCATTGTGTTATCCTAAAAACAGCGGTACTTTGGGGTAAGGGGAAGCATTAGGGCATAGATCTCATATAAAAGATAGCAATACTAAAATGAGCACTGTCTGGGAATAAGGTTCCCTTGGGTTTGTTTTACTGAAAGTGTTAGGTTCTAAATTACTGCTTTCACACAGCCCTACTAAACTAAACAAACAAACAAACAAACAAAACAGGCATTCCCTTGAAGACAGCCACAGTGATATTTATTCTTCCTACATCCAAAGTGAGTGCAGCTGTACCATCTTTTGCAAGGATGTTACTTTACTGGGAGTTACTGCCATGTTTATATGCCTGTTTATTTCATTTCAGTGCTTAGCTGAAACTCCCTCAGAGTCTCACAACAGACCTTCTTACTTTTCCTTTTCTAACTTTAGGTGGAGTTTTTTGATTTTTTTTTTTTAACTTGTGAGATGCCATTAGTGTACACTAACAAAAAGGACAAGATGGATCACAG